TTCTCACTAAGACCCTCTAGGGTCTTATCCATCAATTGTAATCCCTATCCTTACTTTATGTTTCTTCTATGCTGTATTTTTTCCTTCTCCTTAAAACCTACTATTAACATGTTTTTTTCTTGTTTATTGTGTTTTTGCTTAACTAGGATTTAAGTTCTATGACAGTGTTTTATATCCACTTCACTTACTCATCTTTCCTCAGTGCCTGGAACTGTCTGGCACAGTAGGTGCTCTATAAATGCAAGTTAAAATGAATGAATGAAGAGTATCAGAAAAAAATCACAATAATGAGAAATATCATAGAAATATACCAAATATTAAATTAGAAACTACCCAGAAAGTTTTCAGTGCATAATGTAGTTTGTAACTTTCACAATAATGATAGTGCCTTACAAGAAACAACCCACCAAAAATAAAAATATAACTGAATTATAGAATATCCTAGTTATGGTCAGGTAGATTCCTCTATAAAAACTCCACCATCATTCCCATCAATTTTTTTTTGCCCCAGGCAAGCAAGATGGCCTTTTCCTAAATAAATAAATCCCTAAAATAAGAATTTTTAAATTATTTAAATACTAATCACAACATTTAGAGATTTAAAATACAATCCAATTAATAAAGCCCTCATTCCTTTTAGTATGTTTGGGAACTAAAGAGCATTATAAAAATAATAAAATTTGCAGCATTTACAATGTGACCTTTTAAAAATAATCTAGTTAACAATGGAGTATTAGCATTGTTTTCTGGATAATTTATTTTTGAAGAGCAAATAACTTCAATGTGTTACCACATCTCCTAACTATTTTGGTTCCCTGCCAATCTCAGTAACAGATTCTTCACAGTAAATGGTGGAAAAGAACAATATTAAGTGTTTTGAAAATGAGAAATGAAGAACTTTTAACTATGTTTATATTCTCTGAGTGGGGTAAAGTTTTTATAAGTAAATGACTTCAGTGAATTGGAACTAAGAAGAGTTCTTTCTTTGAGGATTAGAATACCAATCTACTTCACCAGAAAGCATGGTCCGACTCTAGTGATAATGAGGCTATGCAGAGGGCAGGAAGAGATGAAGGGAGTTGTAAAGAAACCTGAAACTTCTTTGATTAAATAAAATCCCTGTTCTCTAACATTGGCAATTGTGGAAGAATCACAGCTGGAAGGGGCAGTGGGGCTTTCCTGGTCTGTGTCTGGCCTCCTAAGAGTCATCGAGGCTCTCTCAATAATTACTGCCACGACTGTGCTGGCCCAAAGCATTTTACATCCCAGACCAAGCACGGCCACCTGCTCACCTCTTAATGCTCCAGCCATAGCCAAGAAAACTCTCCAATGCTTCAAAAGACTTATACCAAGACCAGGGGAATGTAAAGAGGGGAATCAAAGGGACACCAAGTCTGAGATATGGTACTACAAAACCAACTTGCCTTCTGGAGCTCGTAGGCCTTATCTTACCTTACTTAGATGACCTCCGTCTGGATGCCATCTGACCGCTATGCATCCAGATAACTATTCTTCAGTGTCACCCCTCCCCAAGGTCTAGACCCAAGACCCATGCCATTTATTCGGATTTACTTGACATTCTGGGAACATGATGCTTGATACTTTTTGGTCTAACTGACACTGCGTCCTTTGAAATATTCTTCTCTGCTCCTGCCCACTTACACCTTTGCTCACCTTGTAAACTCCTATTCATCCTTTGACACTCAATTTAAGCATCCTTCCAGCATGAAGCCCTCTCTGGCCATTCTAGGTAGAGTCCTTTATTCCTCTAAACTGGATTTACCTCTTCCCATATTCTAATGCAATTACTTGTTTATACTTAGTCTCCACTAGATTAAGCACAACGAATGGAAGAATCCTATCATGTTTATCTCTGTATTCCCTCTCCTCAGTCCCATACAGTAGTATTTAGTAAAATACTAAATACCAGTCTGATGCCTGGGTGTCTGGATGAATGGTTAAAGGTAGCTCTAATACCTCCTTCTCTGGAATGAAATATAGAGATTTTGTGATTACGGTATGTTTACTTCCAGGTTTCGGCTATGTTCTTCATGTTTGACATTGCCAAAAGTCTGATTTCTGGATAGGTAGATTGTTACTGTACCACCTAACTTTAGAATGCATTCCATTCCAACTGTGGTCAAAATGACTAAAACAACACTTCCATTAAGAGCTGTGTACTTTTAAGTAAAGTAGGTTACATGTGTCCCCTACATATGTTACTTTTTCCTGACCATAAAATTCTCTCTCTTATCCCTCTTCTAATCCCAAAATTTTATGTTTCAAATCCTTTTTGGAACAGATGTTTAAAACACATATAGTTATCTTTCCTTTGGTATAATTTATGTCAGTTATGTTTTTTCACTGACTTAAGTGCCAGAGATTTTAATGAAAGCATATTTAGGTATTTTTCTGATTTTATAGTAAGCAAATATAAGTAAACTACATTGCAATTGTGACTGAGAGCGTTCTAGTTTTTCAATCTAACAACACAGTGACTGTCTTTAAACTTAGTTTATCTACTTCATTTCTTTGTCCCCAATCTCTCCCAATGAGTAAGAGTTAAAATTTGTGTGTGTGTATGTGTGGGTGGGTGGTGAAGTGAAATTAATGTTATTCTAATCTTCAAACATTGACCTCAAAGTCAAGCATTAAATAATTGGTATGATATTAAAAACACAATATACTTCTTATAATTCTTTTCAGTTATGAAATCACATTACCTGATTAGACTGTGATACTTGTGGGATGGTAGAAATATCATCTTTAAACTCATCTACAAGGTCCATGATTGTTTTCTGGATCCCCTCAACTAAGACAAAAAGAAGTTAAAGGGGGGAGGGAATCTTAAAAAATATCCCCTAACCAAAATTCAAAACAACAGGGAACACTGGGTCCACTGCTTAGGTGGCTGGAAAAACAAGCAAACCCTAGGGGGCTTTATTCCGTTTCCCACACCCATATCCCCTTCACAAGCTTGTGTTTACTTCTTCCAGAAAAGTTCTTCAACACCTGCCCACATATCCACCCAATAGGTTTGATTGGCATGATGAGTTCTTGCTTGGGTTCCTTTGGCTTGGCAAGCTTGCAGGCCTGAGCAATGCTTGTCCTTCTCTCCCATTAGTGAGGGATGAGGGCAGGCTTCCACTTGGGAGAGCAGGGAAGGACGGAACCTACAGCTTACGGCCAGAACTCTTTGTTACTGCACAATGGGCCTCTGAGAACTTGCTACAGAATCTTCTGAGATTGCTCTGGGAGTGAGAACTGCATTTGGAGGCACAGGGCAAGAGAAGGGATCGAAAAATGAACCACACTAAGGAGTTCTACAATATAAATGGAATTTTGTTCCAAATTCTGCAGTGATACCTCAATTAATGGATCATCTGAGAACAAAGCTCCCTTTGAAATGAGTTGGCATATGTTTTAAAAGAAATGATTCACATACGATGCCAAGTGGAAAAGAAATACCAGCAGTTAATTCAGAAAGACTTCTGAACAGATTGTTTTCCTTACCCAAATGAAGGTCACTAGGTCCAACCTAGGCAAAATGGTGAAGCCTTTGTTTTGCCTGTCTTCTTTAAAATCTTTTCATCTTTTTCCCTCCTAGTACTCTCCCATTTAGATGACCATTATTCTCCTCTTATCAAACCTGGGAAGAACTGCATATTTTACAGACTATTAATAGACTACCTAGTTACAATTCAGTGCGGATGAGTTGAGTTGGTTAACACAAATCCCATTGTAATTTGAAACCTTTTCATTTAATTGTAGCTAAGTGGTTTTCTTCAGCAAGCATAAAGTGGCTGCTGGAGGTCTATTGGTGGGAAGTGTTTGGAAAAGAGAAATGTTCATCAGAAGACTCTTCTACCAAGTGGAGCCTGACAGATTCCGGGCTTTCACACAGTCCTTAGTCCTAAGAAAGCTCCCCACCACAGCATGACCACCTGTCCTAACCTTAACCGGCCTTCCTCACTGCTTAAGATAATCACACCCTTAACATTTGGAAAGTGCAATCATTGCCAGAAAGAATATCTAATTATACAAAGGTGAACATACAAACCGGGGGTCTATAAGAGAACAAAGCCCTTAATTTGTCTTATCAAGATCCTTGGCTATCAGTCTTCCTCAGAGGAACACCTGGTAGTACCTTCTCTTATCTTTTTATCTATCTATTCACCCACAGGGTCCTACCTCCCAATTGGTTTCACCCAGTTTTCTTCTCTTTTCATCAGTTCTTGCTCTTCTGGGCATCCTATAAAATTAACAAATCTACAGGAAAAACATTTATCATGCTATTATTTCCTACACTTTAAGCAGAACCTAACTATGTGTGTTATGCTAACAAAGTCCTTTTTGTCTCTTCTTTCTAATGAGCCTGATGAAAAAAGACTGGGCGTGGTGGTGGTTATAATGTAAAAAAATTCCACCCTGCCACATTTCTATTTGTGACCATATGATATTTTGCTTTTTATTTAATCATATTTATATATTTATATCCTGATGCATCTTAAGTTATTTCAGGTAAAGTTAGATAAAATGTAAATGAAGATTATTTTCTTTATTGTTATTTTTTACAACTTATATTAGAGTGCTTCATACTGATAAAATAAATTCTAATAAGAATTTGAGGCAGCTTGTATGTAAATAGGATGTTCGTATATTGAATCATTTGAAATACACTAGGGAAACTTATTCTTTAAAAGTAATCCTAGATAAATTATTCTATAAGGTAAATAATACTTTTTTAAACTAAAAATAAATAGCTGATACATCTCTTGTAAATACAGATTTTTCAAAGATGTTTCAAAACAGGCATATTTATATAATTTTGTTTCTTCTTAAAAATTCTTTAAAAACTATATTCTATAATTTCAGTTGGGTACCATTATATATAGACCTGGAAAGCCTGATAGAATTCTTCAAATAATTACAGTAAAGTGATAGGCTAGACAGGGGACAAAATTAGCAACCTCAGAATTGCTACCTAAGTTTTGGAATTGCTGATGTTTGGTAGTATGGTAGGAAGTTGAGAAGGTCAGATTTGTTTGTTCATTATTTTCACTATATATGCCTAAGCAACCATTATGACCAGATAACGGGATGACCGGACAACCGGCTGGTAGCTAGGATGTGCACTGACCACCAGGGGGCAGATGCTCAATGCAGGAGCTGCCTCCTGGTGGTCAGTGCACTCCCACAGCCAACCTCTCATGGCCAGCCAACCTCCCAAGGTCCCTCACCCCGGCTGGCAGTCCCCAATCGGCCTTGATCAGGGCCGGCTGGCTAACCTCCCAGCCCCAATTAGGCCAATCAGGACTGGGTGAGACGGACCCCCAATTGGCCCCTATTGCCAGCCAGGCCCAGGGACCCCACCAGTCCACAAATTCATGCACCAGGCCTCTAGTCACAATATAAGCTCCATGAGTTCAAGGACTCTGGTTGGCTCAAGGCTATATTTCCCAATAGTTAGCATGCTTTTACAATTTTACAATATTACAGTAAATATTTCCTCAAGTAGTGTCATCAAATTTGTTACTGATATCTCAGGCAGGATGAAATATTTTATCATTAACACATTCATTATGGTGTCAATCAACTGACCTATAAGTGCAGAACACATAAGACATTATATATATATACAAGCATATGCACACATAATGCTTATCAAACATTAGAGGGAGAAAACTTTTTCTCCCACATATAAAGCACTGCATTATTATCTATTTAATCCCTCAGAGTAAATACTGGCTTATGTCACAAGCCCTAATAAGCTGAATAAATTAAATCAAGATAAGCTCAATAAAAACTAGAAAATAGACACAACGCATCATATGTCTTTGATTTCCCTTTCTGCTTTTTAGGGGGTAAATAATACTGAGTATATTAAATGCAGATAATCTATTATTGTTTATATCTGAGAATAGAAAATAAAAGTGTAGCAGGTTAATGGGGTTGGTATTGATAAATATGAGTAAAGTACCTGAAAATATGTAATACAGTAGATATCAAAAGAATGTACATGTGAAAAATTTCAAAAAGGTTATTTTTTAGAAAATAATCCCTAAAACTGAAAACCAATTGAAAAAAATTAGCTGTATACCTAAAAATGATTTATTTTGAGTTATGTTAGAACACAGTTCAGAAGATCCAAAGACAAAAAGAACTAAAAAGACATTTTAAATTTTATTCAGTCATTTTCTAGGTAGTGTTATTATTGGTTTTCTTTGAAAATTTCCTCATACTACAGGATAAGCACACTTTTAGATTAACAATGTTATCAAGAATTTCAGTAAAATATTTAAAAAGACCTCATTAGAAAAATCAAAGAACAAAGTAAAACATTGTAATGTTGAACAGAATTGAAAATGTTATCATGAACGAATGATTTTTAAAAATACATTTTTTTTCTAGCTGTACAGACTTCAATGGCTAAAAACATTGCCAACAAGTAGAAAAGAGCACCCAGGACTCCTTGAGGAAATAGCTTATATCAGTCCAGGGCAGACGTACAAGGTGATCCAGGGAGATCTCAGGCCAGAAAGTTTTTTGAAGATTAATGGGGTCCTATTAAAAGGACACAGAAGCCCGTAAAGTGGCTTCTACGGGCCTTCAATGTGATGATTATGATTTGGGCTTTCCAATGGAAGGATCAAGCCATCATCATGCTAATCCAGTGGTCAGTACAGCATCACTAATTATGGGACAAACAAATACTATATGTTTCTTAATAAAATGCAATATGAATTACATACCATCTATGACATATCCTAGCCAAAAATGTTCCAACTTGACCTAACTTTTAGCTCTATCTTCCAGTTTCCCAGAATACAGATGGACAAATAATCTAATTCAGTGCTTCTCAAGCTGTAGTAAAGAACCAGTACTTCTGTAAATTAAAAATGAATTATCTGGAAAAAGAAATGCATATGAAAACATAAAGGTAGTATTGGTGTTTATTTTTAAATATTTATACAGTCAGATAAAATTATCTTTTCTTTTTAAATCTTCTGGTTTTCCTGTTAAGGTAGTTTTTTCAGTCCCTAAATTTATCCTGCTGGTCGCCATTTTTTTCTCCATTTTATTGATTTTTTACAGAGAGGAAGGGAGAGGGATAGAGAGTTAGAAACATCGATGAGAGAGAAACTTTGATCAGCTGCCTCCTGCACACCTCCTACTGGGGATGTGCCCGCAACCAAGGTACATGCCCTTGACCGGAATCGAACCTGGGACCTTTCAGTCCAAAGGCCGATGCTCTATCCACTGAGCCAAACCAGTTAGGGCTGCTTCATTTTTAATAGGCTGTTATTTTATTCCATCTGAATACCCAACTGTCTTAGTACCACTAATTAAATAAGCTATTATTTTCTCATTGATATGAAATACTATATATATATATATACACACACACAGAGATATATATTACGAACTATTTCTGAACTTCCTATTCTGGCCCACTGACCTATTTGTCTATTTCTATATCATTACAATACCGATTTGCAGTCTGCTTTATTTTCTGTTGAGGAAAGTTTCTGTTGCTCTTCTTTTTCATTATATTATTTCTAGTAGTGTGCTCCCTCAAAACCCACCCCCCACCTAATCTTGTTTTTTCCACTAATCTCTTGGATTTCAGTATCATCGGGGAGGGGGGAAATTATCATTTTATTGCTTCTTTTTCTATGTCCATACCAATTATTTTATTATCATATTTAACTGCATTCACTAGGACTTCCAAATCAAAGATGAATAATAATGATACAGTAGAAACGCCTATCTTGTTCCTGTTTTCCATTAAAATGACTTCAATATTTTACTGCATACCAAAAACTAACAGCAAATGTTATCCTAAACAACCTTAATGTATTTAGTTTCCTTCTATTACCATTCTGGTTTTGTTTGTTTTTATTGCAAATGGTTGTTAAATTTTATCAACTTCTATTTCATAGTCTAGGGACAGGATCACTTTCCCACCTCAATTTGTTGATATAATAAATTATATATTAACTTTCCTGACATTAGAAACATATTACCATTCCTGAAAAAAGAATTTGCATTTGATTATAGTGTATTATTCCTTTGATATTTTGATAGACTTTATTTGCTAAGATTTCATTTATACTTCTTTCAACTATATACATAAATGAGATTGGTTCATGGCTTTCTTTTTTTTACTTAATAGTTTAGTATTACATTTGTGTGCATATGAATTGAGAAGGAGTCCATCTTTCAGAAGTGTCTGGAACAACATCAGAATTATTTGTAATTTCTTTTTCTTTCTTTTCTTATCTTTTCATTTTTTGTAATCTATACTAATAAAAGCATAATATGCAAATCAATTGAATGGCCGAACAGCAGGATGACCATCTGGACAACCTTCTGGACGACCTTCCAGATGAAGCTGGGGCTGCGAGGGCCGAGGCAGCCACGGGGGCTGGAAAGGCCTACTCTTGCACAAATTTCGTGCATTGGGCCTCTAGTAGAGCTATAATTTACACACAGTAAAATTTCTTACATTTTTTAATACTAGTAAGAATTTAATTGCGGAACTATTTGATCCTAATATTTTTGAAAGCTATGTTTACCAACTTTTAAATTTCATATATGTCTATTTGTATATGAAAACTTTCTTGGGCAGGTTTCATAATTTATGTCCTATTAGGAAATCCTACAAGAGTTTCAGTTATGTTGTCACAATTGCATATAATTTAATCTTGTAGATGTATATTGTGGATGCATATTATTTCTAATCTTATACATTTTCTTTCTCTTTTTTCTTTAAACCATGCTCAGGATGAATTTAAGATAAGTGTAAAATTTTCCTATTTTTAGTCTTTCTTTAATAATGAATGTGCCCTAGCCAGTTTGGCTCAGTGGATAGAGTGTCGGCGTGCAGACTGGAGGATCCCGGGTTCGATCCTGGTCAAGGGCACAGAGTTCGGTTGCAGGCTCTTGGCCCTGGTAGGGGACATGCAGGAGGCAACCAATCGATGTGTCTCTCTAACATCGGTGTTTCTCTCTGTCTCTCCCTCACCCTTCCACACACTCTCTCAAAATCAATGGAAAAATATCCTTATAAGGATTATAAAAAAATAAAGAAAGAAAGAATGTATTCTAAATATATCTTTTACCTTATCCCATAGATTTTTGAAATAGTAATTTTAAATGCTTCCATTTATTTCTGCTTTGCTATAAGAGCTATCTTAATTATGTTTTTAAATTTCCAAGTAATTAAGATTTTATGGTTTCCTTTGTGTCCAATTACCTGACAAAATTTTCATAAAGTTTTAAATCATACAAAGGAAACATGTTTTGTCAAAGAATATGAAAATAAAATAAACTGAGTTTATCAACTGTGTTATTCAATTATTTTATAGCATACTAATATTTGTCTATTAGCTCTACCAGTATTACTGAAAAAGAAATGTTAAAATATTTCACAAATTGTATTTTCATCAAGATTTCATATTGTATCAAGTGCTACCACTGATGTGGAGCTCAGAAATTTTCATACACTGGTGGAAAGAATGTAAGTTGGCATACCTACTTTGAGAACAACTGGTATTATTAAGTACAATTAAAGATATGCATAGCTATGAACACCATTTTCAATCTTACCAATATCCCCACTTACACCAGGAGACATGTACTAGAATGTTCCCTGCTGCACTAACTATAATATCAAGAAATATAAGCAACCCAAATATCCATCAACTATAGAATTAGTAAATAAATAATACATATCCATAATAGTTACTATATAGCAGTAAAAATGAATTATTTCTATATGCAACATCATGAATAAATCTCAGGAATATAATAATTTTGAATCAAAGAAGCAAGATATAGATAAATAAAGCACAGCAAGCTTCTATTTATATAAAGTTCAAAAATATTCAAAACCAAGCAATATGTTAGGAATACACATATAAATGGTAAATCTATAGAGAAAAAAGCAAGGGAATGATAAATATGAAATTAAAAGGACAATGAAGTATCATCTCACACCTGTTGGAGGCTACCATCATCAAATCAACAAATGAAAAGTGCTGGTGAGGATGTGGAGAAAGGGGAACCCTAGTCCACGCTGGTGGGAATGCAGATTGGTGCAGCCACTATGAAAAACAGTATGGAGTTTCCTCAAAAAAAAAAAATTAAATATGGCCCTAACCGGTCTGGCTCATTGGAGAGAGCATCGGCCTGTGGACTGAAGGGTCCCAGG